ACACAATGACTTTACTGAGAGTGAAGATGACTTGAACATAGTTACTGTATGGTAGCGAAGACAAAATACAGTATATTGCATTTACCTCTTCCTCTAACTCTCTCTCCAAAAGTGGCCTCCAACAAAGTTTGAACAAAGTGTTCAAGCTCAGGTTTCTAAGTGATCTAATTGGTTACATGGCTTTGAACATGTGCATTCTGGGTGCAGGGGCTTGATAATTGAGTATGGTATTTCAGTGGCAGTGTTTTGCAAACAACACACAGGCTGTTGGTTTTGAATAACGTGTCCAATGTAAATAAGAGTGTGTAGTTATTTGGTCAATCCAGTGTCCAGCTTGTCGCTGTGTGACAACGTCATGTTTGTTGCGATACCTACAAGATTTAACTGTGACAAATGTCAGCGATGTACAGAAATGTCGACCTGCTTTCACCTGCACCCAGCAGCAAGCGGGAGAAATGTTTCAAGTTGTACTTGTGAAGTTACGTCTACAATTAGGAGGGTGAGTAATTAAGCTTTTATTTATGTAACGTTAAACTTATTGTTTTTCTTCAACAAGTTTGACTACATTGAAAGACAGAGGAGGGACAGTATGTGCATTCTTAATGAACATACTATGTATTTTTGTATGTGTCAGGGTGTTATGCTACAGGTCCATGAGGACAGGCCCCACAGTGAGGTCAGGATGAAGTGTTACTTTCTTAGTTACCGTCTGGCTCAACATGTTCCTGGGGATTTGGCTAATTTCAGACAGGTTAGACACAGCCAATAGTAAAACATCAACTTTAATATAACTAGCACAAGGGTACTAGCTACTCCCCAGAAATGGACTGACTGGTCTGTGTGTGCTGCACAGAGGTCACAGTTGTGTTTTGTTCCTGTTCTGTTGTTAAAGAGTCATTTTTCTTCGTTCATAGTATAAAAGTAAATCAATTAATATCAGTATAAGAAGTTGTAAGTATAGAAAAGAACAAAGTCATATAGGAACAAATATATGTCTTATTTACTCCTTAAAATAGCACAATGTTATCAAACCAAAATGTTACCATAAAATAAATAATACAAAGCAAACTGAATACATATTTATTTTGTTTCTCTTCTCACAGGTGGGGCTGAAATACTCGACCCCCGTTGAGCTGGAGCATCATGGCTGCAGGTGTGACGTGTGTTACTCTCCTGCTCCAGTCACATGACTCCCAGTGGGTCCCCAGTACTCAGCTCTACAGAGCAGCAGTGGTACAAACCAAGAACTATGGCAAGTCTGAGAATAATGTCATTGTAATTCAAATGCTAAAACTACACACTCATCATGTCTCATCATTTCTATATATTGCTTCCACAGTGTGTAAAACCAGGCCCGGTAGAGAACATGGCTGGATGTCCACAAATCCAAAGCAGAGAACAATGTCAGAGAGAGTAAAGTGAGAGATTAGTAGTTATGTGAAAGTAAGCTATGCACACAGAATAGTTGATGTGTTGATGTCTCTGAGAGCTGAGAGCTGCTGAATCTGTCTGCCCTCAAAGTGCCAGGGATCTACAATGACTTCACTACTGCTTCTGCACCATAGGTGCCACTAGTGGACTCTGCTCTCGGTAAAGTTCAAGCTGGCAGTCCTTTGTCATATGAACATCACCATGACAGCTAGAAGTCACACTGCTGCCCACCACCATGCTCCACCACGGCCAGATCTACCACTGTCTGGCTACAGACTACAACCATCTGCATGCGTTTTTTGTTGTTGTTGTGAACATCAACAGCTGCCCTTAAGGGGATAGTTCTGGTCTTTTGAAGTGGGGTAGTGTGTGGTATATATCCATAATCAGTGTATTACCTACAGTAGTCGTGTGGAGAAACATATAGGAGCATAGCCATGTACTGCTGAGGACGTGGGCAGAAGCAACATTTATTTTATTCACCCAAAAAAGCTATATCAGTTTAAGTGTACGTTATTTAATGCTAAATATAACAATTTTTTCAGGTGGGCCTTCATTTTTGGGTGGATTGCTGCTGGATTAGGTTTTGCTGCTGTGCTGGTACTCCTGTCTCTCCTACTAACTGGGGTCGTGCCGACCGCTGTCTTCTGGAGGTTATACACTGACTGGATAAGAACCTCAGCCCCATTTCAAACAATCCAAACTATCATCTTAAAGTCTCTTGAGGTCAAGAGTTATGTGCACAACAATGGAGGCCAATATCGGAGAGAGAGTTAGAGGAAGAGGTAAATGCAATATACTGTATTTTGTCTTCAGTACCATACAGTAACTATATGTTCATGTCATCTTCACTCTTAGTAAAGTCATTGTGTCTGATACTAGATAGAATAAACCTATTTGTGTGTTTCCACATTGCATGTGTTCATTCATAGTCCATATTTACAGCGTGCTACAAATGCCTAAAACTTTGACTTGAATGTCTTGTTTATCAATCAACTAATGGACAGTGTTTCAATTCAGTTCATGTAAGCCTTACACACACATTCCTCTTTTGAGCGTCTAGTGATTATGGCCTGCATGTCTTTCTGTTCTAACTGAGCTGTCAGCTTCTTAGCAGTTTAGACAAACATCAAATTCATAATGTAGAGACTAGTTGGACAAAATAATGCTTAACAACTGTTCCATTACTGTGTGAACTGTTATAGGGGTCGACTGTATGATATATCGTTCTCCCGCTTGCTGCTGGGTGCAGGTGAAAGTAGGGTGACAGTTCTGTTCACATCGCTGACATTTGTCACAGGTAAATCTTGCAGGTATGCAACAAACATGACGTTGTTCAATGGTTGTCACACAGCGACAAGCTGGACACTGGATTTGCCGACACAGTACAAACCGGAAGTCAGCAAAATCAAGTTATGCACAGAGCTTGCATACTTGTTTTAATCTCTATAAACGCATATCTGCATGTGAATGCAGAAATAAACGTATCCTCGTCAGCATGGGTGCCGGAAGCAGGGGGGCCAAGGGTCGTCAGACTTCTGGGTCTTTTACAGCATTGCCATTATATCCTCCTGTCTTTTATTTTTGAAATATGTTCTTTAACTTCCGGTCCAGCGGACTGCTTTTCTTCATTCTTCAATACAAAACGGAAAATTGAATGAAGTTGTTATCAAAAACCAAAATCAGACCGTTTTTTTTTTATTAGGTCTTCTTGTTATCCGTTTTTTGACATAAACAACATAAACAGGAAAACGGCTTTGGTTTCCCGTTTTTTCGTTTTTGATTTAAAACGAAAAAAGGCTGGTATTTTCGTTTTTCGGTTCAAACGTTAAATCAAACTAACAAAACGTACAGACTTTTTTTGGTCAGGTTTTCTCGTTATCGGTCTTTTTATTCAGACAACAAACACGGAAAAACGGCTTTGGTTTTCCGTTTTTTCGTTTTAAATAAAAAACGGAAAAAGGCTGGTATTTCCGTTTTTTGGCTTTGGTCTGTAAAATGCCCGAAAAGTAAAATAATGGGAGATAAATATCTCTAAGTCTCCACATTTTATTATATTTTTAACGTGTTTCTGGACACAGACAGTAGATCAAGGATATGTAAGGATGTAGAACTCTTGTGTGAACATTGGATAAAGCCAGGTTCATATTCTTGTTTCATGTTGTTATATTACTCTAATATTGTCATATTAGAGTCAAAAAGCACAGAGCGAAATATATTTGTGTTGCGCCATTAATCAGAAAATAAATAATGTACAGGCTTTCAGATAGCTGTAGTTCACTAAACAGAGACATTAACGACATGTTTGGAGTTGAAAATGTCAGAAAAAGTGAAAGACTGGGAGATAAATATCCCCAAATCTCAAAATTGTATTATATTGTGTGTGTGTGTGTGTGTTTGTGGTCCTCTTTCAGTTGAGACACTGTAGGTGAAGGATGCTTCAGGAAAAGACCATGCACTGGATGTCTTTCAGTAACCAACATGTGTTTTCGAGACACTGATATTAACGGGAAAACCCTGCAGGACACAAATGCCTCGTCTCTGTTCCCTCACTCATATGGGAGTGATTACCCATCAGCCCCGGAGGTGCAGAGGAAAGGCAGCGTTACCCCCAGTCTGCACGTTGTTTCTCTTTCAGAAACACAGAGGACTGTTTGTATGATGGGATCACAGACACGCTGCAAACGGTGTCCGACAAAAGTCGAGTCCAGTGTCTATGTAGTGTCATTTTTATTTGTTATAGTTTGGGAAGATTGAAAATCGGTAGGGAAGCCAGCAAAGTCGGTAGGCGGTAGAAACATGTCAAAAGCGGTAGCTAGACTACCGCCCAAATATCACATCATAATGTATCATATATTTCCTTATCTGAGTCAGCTGAGACGTATCTGGCCGTGCAACGCTTACAGTGTCACATACTGTATGCAGAAGTATTATTATCCAGATACCACCCCTTTTATGTGAACGTGCACCTAACTAGGACACGGCTGGCTTGAGCGAACGCGTTGATAGCCAGCGTTATAGGACAGTTTAGCGAGAGCGGCTTTGTTTTGGATTAAGTCAACCAGATAACTCAAAACATATCCAGGTTAGGTTGAACCAGCTTCGTAGTACAGGCCTCTGATGCGCTATAGTCATAAATGAGGACATCCATCATAGGGCATGCAGGGATTTAAGCTACTCTCACCTTTTATTATAATCTCCTGCTGTTTTTGCTGTTGGTATTACAGTGGCTCTCTCCACCTACACGCAACACCCACAATTGACTGCACAAGAAATTGCTGACGCATTATTTCTGGCAGCATTACAACATCTCGGGGTGTGTTCCTCTCAGTGAGCTCAGGAAGATCGAAGATGCACTTTTGTTCCAACTATCGCAGATAGAAACAATTACTCAGAGAAAAAAATTAACAGTTCTGTGTTGTTGCTCAACTTTAAGAACTAAACTCCTCAGTTAATAATCAAACACATTCCTCCCATGCGTGTGATGTGTGCTCAGGATTTTCAGGTCTATTTACACAAAGCACTTGAGTCTACATCGTTGTTGTGTGTTTGTGATTTTCACTTTGCAGGGATAGTATTTTACGAGGAATTTGAAGAATTGGCTTTACTAAACATTGTTATGTTTCTTCTTGGGTAAGTGTTCAATAACACACAAGTTCTTGCCACCTATTTAAATGTGGTATTTGTTGTAAGATTGTATCTAAAAATTATCTTCCAGTTGTCTTCTGTCTTTCCTTGGAGTTTTCCTGATCGCCCGAAACAGGCCAAAAATAAAGCTACAAAATCCCAATTGTATCTCAATGGATAAGATTCCTCGTAAGTTTCTGATACATTTTTAATCAGCTCTCTTCAAATGATGGTATGTTACATACCTACCTATTTGCATTGAGCATGGTGCATTGATTAGCAAGCAGCAACCCTGGATCTATCCGACTGCAGCAGGGTCTAATGTGTGTGCTGTCCACCTTCACAGGGAGAAGTCACACAGACAGAGTGCAGCCCGAGGCGCAGACATACGGACCGCTGGCTGCCAAACTCATGTGCAACAGAGCTGGCCAATCAGACGATGCATAGGACCAGCACCATCTGTTGGGAGTGTAATGTTGGTGGATTTGTGTGTGAATAATTTTTCCTGTGAACTTGAAAAATATCTCTTTCGAAAATTAAATGGTAGGCATCAATTCAAACAATAGCTGAGTGGCATATTGATGGCCACATTTGTCTTTAAAAATTGCCTCTTTAAATATCAGAGACATCTCTTGAGTTAACAGTTATACCAGCACAATTAACAGTAGCTGAAGAGTATTATCTCATTGTGGTGAATCAGAGTGCAACATCAAATTCCCTTCTAGCAAGTACATTGTATTTATAAAATAAATCACATGTATATATTGAAATCAATTGTATAAATCTGCCTATTTGGGATCTGTTGTCAATAAACAAGGACAACATCTGATGGTTCAATAGTGTGTCCATTTCATAACATAAGTGAAATTAGGAACACTACTGCCCTCCAATGGTTGGGGACCTTAAATGACCAGGCAACTATGAGTGCGTCATGATGATCTGGGGTGAAGTGAATAAAAGGACAAACATAAGAAGTTCAGTATTAGTTATATTAATTAAAGTTGCTCACACATAGCTAGCAGGTGTGTGGGAAAACTTGAGCATGCAAGACTCTGAAACCTGTTTCCAAGAAGTAGAAACAGAACATTTCAGACTGCATTCCTAACTGCTAAACTTTAGTGTTGCCAAGCAACAAAACTCTTATCTGCCACCTACACATTATGGGACGAGTGGAAAACCAGTGCTCATGCAATGCAACTATAAAAATATTGCATGATCATAGCATTTACTTCTGATAACATAATGCATATTTCAATTATTGAGTGTGCCGTAAAACTGTATGTTCTTACAAAGTGGGAATGTGGACAGTAATTACCCCAAAATAACAACGTCTGTTATGTGCAGGATATTTTATTAGCTTATATTCGAACTAAACCTTTTTAACCAAGGCTTCTCAAACAGAAAGGGACACTTTTCCAAAATTCAAACCCATGCATTTGACGCACAAAAAAATGTATGTGCACACATACCATCAACATTAATACTCCTGGGATCATTAGCATGAATATAGAAGGTGTGAAATAAGCCTTACTTCGATTCATTTGGAAACCTGTTGCTAAAAGAAAACACTTGTTTTAACCTGTGTGGTGCGTCCCTCAGACAGAGGCATTGGGGGATGAAAAATCATGCAAATTAATGACATATATCTTGAGTTGTTCCAATACCCAAGAATTCAGATGGGAATTACAGTTCTGCATGGGCCCAGATGTTTCTATCAGACCTCTATGTTGATTTTTGCAAAGCGGTAGTGCAGAGATGTGGGGTTGCGCAGCAGCAACACTCCTCTGTGTTCCATCGGCTGGTTGAAGAGGGTTTTGAGAAGAGCAGTAACGCTGACGAAACCCAGGGCCTCCCCGCAGCCTGCAGACAGGGAGAAGTCGCCCTGGGTGACCCAGCCCAGAGTCACCCGGGAGCAGTTAGAGGTGATGCTCGGCAGAGGGTCTGGCCACAGCCCGAGAATGATGTCAGAGGATGAGGAATTGAGGACAACAGATGTGGTGGGGTTTGGTTCAGTGGAAAAGACTGACTCTTTGCCCTGAATGTTATCAGAACACCAAGATGATTGAGCAGCTTTCTTGGGCTCCTTTTTTCTGCGTCGAACACTGCTTTTAAAGTGGTCTCTGTGCGGGGGCTCCTGGGGGCCACTGCTGCCACACTTTTTCTTCAGAAGATTCAGGTCTTCTGCTGTTGGCACACACACCATGGCATGGAGCTCTGGTTTGCCCTTGCACAGTACTGAAAGACGCACCCACACCAGACTCATCCTATGTGCAGTGAGAAACACCGTCATGGCTGATCGGTCCAGAGGTGGCAGCTCCCCAACACGGCATGACTTTTGACCTTTAGATGTCGTGGCTCTGCACCAACCAGAGAGCAGCCTCAGTGACTTTCTGTTCCTAAGAAGCATACAAAACAATCAATATCCATTTGTAAAAAGTGATTCATATTCAAAAAGAAACATTGTAAAGCTCCCTAAAGGATTATTAATATATATATTAATTATAATACTGAAAGCAAAAAGGCAACCAATGGACAGTGAAAAGCAATCCAATGTATTTCTCATATAGTCTTTCATTACTCAAGACTGGTGTGATGGTTTCATGAGGATAAATGGATAAAAAGCCGTTTGGCCTTTTTGGCTGACCTGCCCCTCTGGAGAGAGCGAGTTTGTTTTTCTTTTTTCTGTTGTGGCCAAATCAACATGATAAGGCTACAATTAGTATTGTAGCGTCTCGCTGCGGGAAACACACTTTGTCAGCGCTGTCATCTGCCAGTGCATTAAAGACCACCTCAGTGTCGGATTTTGGAAACTTGATTTTGAGTTGTCTCATGGCAGTTAGGGTATAAAACCAGGGGACTTTACTTACTCTTGATACCGTTGGTTATTTACAAAAAAACACCTAAATATACATGTTGTTGTGCTTCTGTCTTTCTGTGTCTTTTCATCTGTAAACTCCCTCAACGGGGCCGCTCGCTCTCTTTTCTTGATCGCCCTATCCCGCTTCATTGTGGGATTCCTGCCATGTCTCTACCACTTTAGTTTGACCATCTGTTATTAAGTTATGGAATACTAAATAAATAAGTAATTGGATACCTTACCGTTACTGTGCTCATAAAGAATGATAAGAATAAGAACAATGCATATTGAATTGGTTTCATCAATTAGTGAGTTTATTTAAGCTAATTAGTTAGAGGCCCTATTTTATCAGTATGTCTGGACTGCACAGCCATACTAAACAAACTCTCGCTCTCTCCAGAGGGGCAGTTACAATGGTCAAACTACATTAGAACAGAATTGTCCCCATTTTGTCTTTAATAGTTACTAACATTAGATATTTTAATGAGATATGGACCGCAAAACAAAACATTTCCCTGGTTTTCATTTTTAAAATCAAGTCACCGAATGCAAGTAGTCTCCTTAGCTTATTTTGTTATGAGATGTGAATTACTGTTCCATTTAGTTGATGTAATAATTGTTTGGTTTCTTTTACATTAAAAACAAGTTACAATTTTCAAAAGGTCTTGTGTTTTTTTTCGGGGGGAGGCCCTTTTTCCAGTTTAGAGCAATAGCCTCTCCAAATGTCTGTGCACGTCCCTGCAGCTTGGTGTAGAACTGCAGTGGATGTGCGTTGAGTCAATACTGACTTGAGTTCATGTTCACAATAGGGGAGAGGATTCAGAAAAATAGTAAATCTTCAATGAATGTCACAAACATGAATAAAGGGAAGGTAAAGACAAACACTTACCTAAGTACAACGACTCGGCTCAGAGGCTTTGTCTCAGCGATTTCTCCATATGATGTCATCTCCTCCATCACTGTGTCAGCCTCTGTTGTGCTCTGGCACTCTCCTCTCCTCTCTTCTTCTCCTTCCGTCGTGATAAGCTCACACTCCTCGGACAGCTGTTGCCACGGGCAACAGAACGGAGCCAGACAGCCATGTTTAATATAATTGGTTCTTTTGGCGGGTGGACGTCTACAGGAGAGGTCAGAAGGTTAAACCCCTGTCAGCCATGAGTGCTACACGGCCACAGAAGTATTGAAAAAGAAGCACGCAGTCTGGGAAATGTGCATAATGGGAATTTACTGGGGTCAGAGCTAGGGTTGGGAACCGAAACTCGGTTCCAGATGAGAACCGATAACAAAATGTCGGGTACCGGGTACCCATACAAAATACACAATTTCGGTTCTGCTTAACGGTTCCTAAATGCGGTAGACCCTGTATTTCACCGGGTCCATCTGCGCCCGGTCTGTGAGTTCTGGAGAAATGACAGAACGATTAGCCGGCACCGCCCTTAATTTTTTTAAATGGCATCATGTAAGTTGCGCTGACAGGCGACAGAGGTCCACAGTTGCCCCGCAGCGAGGCTCCCTCTGCTCTGCCGTAGACAGTTCACAAGCTCAGTCACTTCATTACAGCAAAGATGGATCGCGTAAAACGCTCTAAAGTGAGGCTCCACTACACTAAAAAAGACAAGGCACAGTGTAATGCCTGTTAATAGCTTGCCACAGGCATAGCTCAGTTAAAATAAAGCACAGCTATTGTGCAATACATTTGTATTGCATGTATATTTTTTATTTGTAAAAATGTCAGTTAAAGCTTCAAAGAATAAATATATTTGTTATCTAAAGGTTTGACCTCTTTCTTTTACCATTTTGGAATTGAAACGGGGAATCGATAAGAACCGGAATCGATAAGCAGAACCGGAATCGATCAATTTCAAACGATACCCATCCCTAGTCAGAGCTTTGGAGTGCTTCTCTCTATCAAACTTTAATCCAATGTCATGCTCTCCATTTATTCAGAGTGTAGGCAAGGGAATGTTATCTTAACCTAGCAGATGATTGTATAGTCATATTGTAACTACTTCAAGGTGTATTTAGTTCAAGCACTAGTCTAATTATCACCTTACTTTATGATTTGTTAAAGGAAACATTTCCCATTTACAGTGTAAAGGTCCTAAGCTCAAGTTTGCCTCTGCAATGGATGATTAAACTACATTTTAGAAACAGTTCCATCAGTAAAAATCAGCCTTCTATACAATACAAAATACATGTAAGCTTTGGCAGAACAAGATTTTCCCGCTGAATTCCGTAAAAATACAAATACTCAAACATACAATATTCATGTTTTTGGTTCCTTCCCTGCTCAGTTTTAAGCTGACCTTTTGAACTTTGCCAAGAGCTCTGCCTCCTGTTCCTCCTGAAAACGTACACCTGCAGGGCAGTCTGGGTAATCGTGGGGAAAGTGTGGGGCTCCTTTATTCTGAGAGTGTTTCAGACTCATATTCAGCCCTCCAATGCGAACTCCTCTGTACACCTAGCAGATAGAAAAAGAAGGCATAAAAGAATAAACACTGGATTATAGGGAAATTGATAAATGATGCAAACCTGAGGGCCTTTTAAATGTATCAAACATCAAAGCCATCCCCAAACCAAAAGAGCAGACCACCCGACTCTCTACCACTGCTCCAGATGGCCTCGCTGGAAGTGTGCTCAAAGCATGTGCTGTCCGAGGTCTTTACTGGCCCAGGTTTTTGTCCCCACGTGCCCGCAGTTGAAAACTATTGTACCAGTTCTCAAAAAAACTGCTGCAGGGAGTCTGAATGTTTTTCATTCCGTCACACTCAGCCCCATCATCGCCAAGTGCTTCTGGACACTGGTCCTGGCTAAACTTAAGTCCAGCCTACCTTCCACACAGGGTTTCTGCTCTGATTTGTTCTTGCCGGTCAAATGTCCGGAAATAATTTATTTTACCGGACAAATTTGAAACTTACCGGTCAGGTTTCAATAATAATAATAAGAGTTGTGTAGCAGAGTTTCCGTTAGCAGGTAATTACCGGACTATGACCGGATATGCTGATGTTTAAAACTCAGTTAATGGGGCTCATTTTTATATTGCTTCAGTTTATAAATCGTAAAGGTCGAAAAGTTCAGATTCATTTTTCAATAAATTATGCGCTTCCACAAACATCATAATTATTACATTCAAACAAACTACTTATAGTAGATAAAGTACATTATTCAAAAGCTTACATTAACTTTGGATAATAACACGGGAGAAAGCCTCTCTTTTTCCTCTCTCCCTCCCTCTCTCTCCTGACAGCCCGTCAGTTTCTCATGCAGCTCGCTAAACAGTGGGCGGGGCTTCAGGTGATCAAGCAGCGCTGCTTGTCTCCGTCAGAGACACCAGCAGCTTATCTGATCTCTCTCTCTCTCGCGTTATACTTCACTCGCGTTTATGTACATATCAATCAGATCCAGCTCTCCTGATCGGCCTTTATAGAGAGCACCGATCAAACTATTAAGAGTGAATATCGGCTGATAATGATCGGCGGCCAACCGATCAGAGCTCCTAAATATTACCGGACATTTTGAATTGACCGGTTTTTAATACATTTTACCAGCTAAAAACCGGTACCGGCTAACGGAAACCCTGCTTCCACATAGGGCTGTCCTGAATACCATTCTTCGGGCTCCGGATATTCGGTAGTAATCAGCAGCGAATATTAGAATATTCGGAACGGAGAGAATTACTTTTTTTTTAATAAAAAAACATTTTCCAAAAGGTTTCATAACACGCTCCGAATCCGAGACACCAGACAACACGCTGTTAAGCAGAAGCGCAGAAAGAGCATACTATTACGATTTATACTTATAAGATTTATATTTATTTCCAAGCAAAGTAAGTGCACGTTTTTATCATGTGTAACGTTACTGTTTGAACGGCAGATAAAGCAGCTTCATCATGGCAACTTGACAACAGCTACGCTAAGCTAGGCTAGTACTTACAGCATCCGGTGACTTTTCAGAGTTGTTGTGCCACCGTGGTAGGCCAGTTTCTTGTCGTATATTTGGCACACTGCCTTCTTCTTATCGTCGTCCAATTTAAAATGGTCCCACACAGCTGGAGTCTTTGGCATTTTGTGTTCAGGTGTGTGAAACGAGGTGAAGCAAGGTGAAGCGTGACGTTCACGTTCGTGACTGAGTGAAAGCGATGTCAGGAGCACAGGCTGAGATTGTATATATTTCCGCATTTTAACAGTGCAATTCAAAAGTATAAATATAGTATAAGAATATGGCAATTCGCCTTTATTGATAGCATAAATTTAGGAATAAAAAAAAAAAAGAACGTATATCCGAATAATGAAATTGAAACCCCAATAGTTGGCCAACGAACGAATATTCGGGTACTTTGCTACTTCCACACTATAGCCTAATCAGTTTGCATCCCAATAGGTCAACTGAGGATGCCGTAACCACAGCTATATCTCTCAAAGGCTCCGCCCTCTACTGGACTGCAGCCGGCCTTCGTTTTGCCCCCCCTGCCAGACATCTGGCGGTATATGGAGGCGACGTGGCGACAGCCACTGAGGACGAAGGCTCCAGTGGCAACATGGGCTGGAATCCTCAGGGTGCAGGGCCACTCGGACACTGTGCCCTGTGGTTCTCCATGGCTCTGAGCGACGACCCGCCCTTGGGGGTGGACGCGTTTGCACACGAGCCATGGCCAAGGAAGCTGCTCTACGCCTTTCTACCGCTGCGTCTCATTCTCCCTCTCCTGGGGAGAGTGAGGCGAGAACGTCTGTCAATCATCCTAGTAGCGCCGGATCGCGTCAGGGCTCCGTGGTACTCAGAGATGACACAGACGAAGGTGGGCCAGCCCTGGGCGCTTCCCCAGTTCTGGGGGGCGATGTCTCAAGAGGCAGGTGCAATCAGGGCGTTACCCACTCTGGGCCAACCTCTCCAGTGGCTGTGAAATGCTGCCGCGTGACCGTGAAATGCTTGAGCATCTGGATAAGATGTTCAGGCTCGGAGCGCAGATGGCGGCGGCGGCCAGTAATCTTGGCGTGTTGGGAGTGTCGCTGATTACCCCTCAGCAGGTGTCTTTTCTTTCCACACACCCACACTGCCACATAATGTTGACCGTACAGATTCCCCACTCGCTGCCCCGGTTGTAACTCCAGTAAAGGAAGAAGCTAGCGGCCATGCGCGGGTGAGAGTGATAAAACGCAGAGTGTAAAAACTCAGCTTGATGCATTTCACTGTTTGGGTGAATGCTTCATGGCGGAGTGTGCGCGCGCCGCGGTGCGTTCAAGGACCTCAGTAGAGAGTCTGCCCTTTCTGTGTCGACCCCCCATGGGCAGAGCTTCCCTTCGCGGGAAGTTTTGCGGCGGGACAGGTCACCAGAGAGTACCACAGCTTTATCGCTGGGGCCCCACTGCTGATTGCACATCCCCTAACGCAGTGCTATGGTGAATGGAAGTGCAGCTGTGTGTTAACGGAGTGGATGGACAGGACGCTGAGACTGGGTTATTCACTCCAGTTTTGCAGCATCCCTCCTCCATTCACAGGCATAAGAGAGGCAAAGCTATCATCTCGAGGGGAGATAGGTTTCCTCTCGGCAGAGGTTCAGGCCCTGGTGCAAAAACAGGCTGTGTCTGCTGTGCGCACTCAAGGCAGAGAGGAGGGGCACTATTCTCTGTACTTCCTGGTTCCCAAGAAGACGGGTGAATTCAGATCCCATTCTGGATCTTCGCAGCCTGAATCTCCACATTGTACGCAGAAAATTCCAGATGTTAACTATAAAACAGTTACTGGGACTGGTGCAACCATCGACCTGAACGCTTACTTTCATGTCGAGATTGCTCCGAAACATAGAAAGTATTTGCGTTTTGCCTTCCAGGGTGTAGTCTACGAGTACAACAGACTACCGTTCGGCTACTCCCTGTCCCCACGCACGTTCAGCAAATGTGTGGCCAACCGCTGCGCGCCCGTGGCATGAGTTTTCTTTTATCTGGACGACCTCATAGTCATGGCCAGGTCCAGGGAACGGGCAATGTTTTACACAGCCCAATTGATCCTACACCTAACCAAGTTGGGCTTTGCGATCAATTGGAAGAAGAACACCCCCATACCTCACCAACAGGCGTTGTATTTAGGAGTGGTGCTCGATGCAGGCAGGCTACACGCCACCATGTCAGAGAGCAGACAGGCATCCTTGCTTCGGGCAGTTTGCAGACTGCGACAGGGGGCAACAGTGACAGCTTTGACTATCATGCAGACTCTGGGTCTCATGGCGGCTGCTCACGTTGTGGTCCCACTCGGGTTACTACATATGCGCCGCCTGCAGAGGTGGTTCTCCAGCCTGCGTTTTGATCCCAAGAGGCACAAACGGCGTCTGGTGACCATCCCCCCCTCAGTGGAGGGCAACCTCCGGTTCTGGGGTCCACGGATCACCTCCGGAGGGGGTCTCCACTGGGACGGGTGACCTCCTACATCACAGTGTTCACGGACGCATCCGGAACAGGATGGGGAGGGACCTGCCAGGGGAGAGCTATAGGTGGGCGCTGGTCTCTAACAGAAACACGACACAGCAACCTCCTAGAGCTACGGGCAGTAGTGTTGGTCCTCCAGCAGTGTTTCCCCTATATACAAATAGCGGCCGCTGCTAGGGGGCACCAGCCAGGTACAGCCAGGTACCCTTTTTTTATTAAAATAATAATAAGTGGCGAACCTTTTTCATGTTTTATTATTATGTGGATTTGTAGTATTTGTGTTGCTGTATGTTCAATAAAAGGTGTATTTTTGCTAAATCTTGAGACATTGCCACTGTCTGTACTGGCAGGGCCGATTTTTGGTAATAATTAAGTAAATGTAACACCCTTTTCACCCCGGTTACACTTTTCATTTGCCCTGTACGATGGAGAGAGGGCACACCGGTACCGGCGCTGTTGTTATTAGAATCTGGTGCTAGCTGTGCTAACGGATATAAGAAGTAGATGTTTCTACAACCAGGGTGGAGGAGAGCTCTCCTGTCAGACTACGTTTTCTTCTGAAATCATATTATTGGGTGATTTAAATTGGGACTGGTTGAGTGATAAATCTTCACAGTTTAAGCAGGTTTGTGATTCTTTGAACTTAACTCAGCTTATTGATAGTCCCACTAGAATAAACCCTGCCAAACCCAATAACGATACCCTTATAGATGTCATTCTAACAAATGCAGCTCATAAGTATGTGTCTGTTGGTGTTTTTCCTAATGATATCAGCGACCATTGCACTATTGCTTGCGTTAGGAGCACTAAGTTGCCCAAAGCCAAGGGCTTTATTGTGCTCAGGCGCTGCTTCAAAGCTTCAAACACTTCTCTGAGCAGGCTTTCCTACACGATCTGGCGGCGGTTAAATGGCACTTCATAGCGTTAATTCCATCCGTCGATGTTGCAATCCAATTTTGTATTGATCACTTTTTATCGATTATTAATAGACATGCCCCCCTTAGAAAATTCAGAGTTACGAATAGGAACACTCCATGGTTTA